ATATATATATATATATATATATATATATATATATATATATATATATATATATATATATATGCTTATTTATTTATCTATTTATGTATTCATTTATTTATTTGTTTATTTATTTACTTATTTATTTATTTATTGTGTATACTGTAAAATCAAAAATGATTTCTTGTAGGTGCGCAAGCAACAACAGGTATTCGAAACAATTGTTCAACTGATTGAGTACCATCGAGGGGAGAATGTGCCAATTATCTCGGAAGGCAGTGAATTGCATTTGATCCGTCCTATTGTAAGGTTTGCCGGAGCATTACCGCGCCGATAGATAGAACGAACAGAGCAACAAGAAATATGATTGCATGAGCTTATGTGTGTGACCATCGAAATATGTATGACGACAATTTGAGGTATCTATTAGAAAATTTGAAAAGAGAAGAGAGGAGGAGGGAAGAGGAGGCTGCAATCATCCTACGACATCAGTCAAAAGGGATTCTTTTTCATTAGATGGTATTGCCTCACTCCTGTCTTCATTATTATAACTCTTGTTAGATCATTTACTGATACTGCTGATACTGTTCTGAAGGAGTCTAATTGTTGTAATTAATACCAGTTAATGATGTCGGTTCATTGTCTGCTTCAAATACTACTATCATTTCTGTTGTTACTAATCTCGAATTTCGTCCATTCACTGCGTATCCTTGATACTGTTGTATCTTGTGATCAGGTAAAATATTCAAATAATTTTCCTAGTATTTTTGAATATTGGGTAGAATTTTTCAAAACGTCTACTTGTTAGAAGTTAGCATTTTAAACTTATCTCAGTTTGCCGAACACTGAAAAATTTGTGTAGCAGTGGAAAAGTGATTAAATGGAAAAACAGTAAAACTGAAGACTCAACTCGACTTTTAATAACAATGAAATATTGAGATCTGAAATTAAAAATAGATAGTTGTTGTGGAAAATAAGCTACACGATATTTTGATACTTTTCTATTTTTTGAACTATTGTTGTTTTCTTTAAACTTTAAGAAGAGCTATGATTTCAAATCAATTAATATCCTTTGCATATTAATTGAATATATTTTTCCAAGGCGTTTCATGATTCCTGATATTTTTGTTTAGATTTCATCTTTCAATTTTTTTGTCTTTCTCGAAAGGAAACAAATATCCAAATTTAAATTAGCTCACTAGGAGTGTCTTAGGTTTTTGATTATGTGTGGAGAATTCAGTATCACTGGATAGGTTGGTAAATTCGATTGTTTTAAGAATCATCTTAGAATGTATTCGAAGTTGAATTTTCCGAAAAATATATGTTTTATCTTTCTTTCAACCGTCTTAATAATTAAAAGTTTTAGAGGCAAAAAAGTAAAATAGGGGGTAACCCAGTAATTAAAAATAATGCTTTGAATCGACCTAGTAGTTGCTCAGTTATTTCTGTCTATGGCTTATGCAGTTATTATTATCGGAAGCTGGGATCCATTTTTCTTCCATTTCTTTTCCGATTATTACTGAAACATGTGATTCCTTTTTTCGTAATTCATTGCCAGGAATAATTTTCCATTCTTACCACTCAACATTGTAATTTAGTAGTCGATGACTGTATGTATAAATTTGTAGATAAATTAATAAATTCAGTGAAAAGTATTCGGAAAATAATAGCACTCAAATGTTTTCCCCAATAGTTTTAAGTTAAATTTTCTGAAAGATTTGTTTATTTTGAAATTTTCCTTCCTTAATTTGAGTTGTAGCACAATCTCCCAATTTAAACTCAATTTGTGAGCAAAAACTCCTAAATCCTTTGGGCATCTGTAGTGGTCAGTTGTGCTATCCTAGTAAAGATGTGAGAAAGTGGCTTAGCAGGTAAATTGATGTTTACCACAAAATCGAACAAAATCATCGTTCAGCTAGCCCTCATTTTTTTTTTCTGCCGGATTTTCGAGCAGTTTATCAATCCTATTCTTTTAAAAAGATTTTGAAAAATCGAAAATGAAGTTTGATGCAGGATTATTTTTTTCTGTTTATTATTATTGGTGTTTTTACCGATCCATACTGTTCTTCTAAAATAAGTTACTGTTTCACTCCAAATTTCTCGTTCTTTTCGTGAAAATTTTCATGCGAAGCATTTTACATTTGTTTTTCAAGAAAGATCAAATTTCACATTAAATTTGATCGACTTTTTTTTTTTCTTTTCCGGGATTTTTTCACAAGAGGATATATGAATTATGGTGTATTGGTTTATCGAAATCATTAAAATGTATTATAGTATTTTGTCTAAAGTATTCATATAGTGTTTGATGCATTTGTTATAGCTAATCTAATTATTTAGTGTTATGCTTATTCATTTATTCATTCTTACTATGTAACTTTTTAATTGTGATAGAAATAAATTATCCTTAAGATTTTCGCTGTATTATGCAATTGTTTTAGTAATATGTCGAAAATAACTAGCATAATGATTCATTTAGGGTATTTAATTAACAAAAGAAAGTCAACAACTACTATTGTAGGATGTTGTTGAAGCGGGGAGGCTGTTGTTGTAGGGCGTTGTTGAAGCGGAAGCGGAGATTTTTGAGTGTTAATTATAATCGAAGGGATGTAATCTGACCTAGCATTAGGTATTAGACTTAATATATCTATTGTAAATGATAATGAAAGGATATTTTAATATTGCCATAAGATTACTTGCGATATTTAACTCATGGAGGTTGATGATTAATTGCACTAAGATTGTATAAGATTTGAGTAATTTTTATGATAGTGATGATAAACATGGGAATGTATTTTTATCGTAATATTCATCATAACATATGTATTTTACCATGAGAATATGGAAGAGGAATATGATAGATGCTTCGAGTTTTTCCGAAAGCATTTGTAAATTTGATAAAATTTAATTTTGATTGAAATAGTTAAATGAAAAAAGAAGACAAATATGATATATGATAGTGGTAGTTTTCAATCTTTTCCTTGGTCAATAACCATTTTGACCTTTTTTATTCATAACATGGACCACTAAGTTCAAAAATAATAAATTCTTTTATTTTGAAAGTATACTTTAATTGAAACTTTTAAAATATCAATAAACTCAGGCAATATTATGATATAAAAAAGAAGGAGCATAATTTTTAATAGTCCTCGCGGACCAACAATTGGAAACTAGCAATGCATGAGAATAGCTTATATTAAAAAATATGGAATAAATGAATACTAGGATTGTAATTCTTGATAATTGGAAATGATTATTAAGTTTGTTTCATATTAAATATGACGGTAGACAAATTATTTTCACTTGTTTGTTTATTTTGAAAATTTAATTGTCGCTTATAATATTTTTCATTTTTTCAGCGTTTTAAAAATTTATTATATATGATTCCGATTATCCAAGCTTACTTCCAGTATACCTTTATTTAATTGATCTTATTGTCGATCATTTTTGTATCAAGTACTTTTTTTTCTTCTGGAATTAATTGTTGTTATTCTTTGTTGTTTTAGCAAATGACCATAAACTAAGATATTGAATTGCATCATTATCCCATCAAATTTTAAATGATAAGAACGTGAAAAAAAGGCAGAACAGAAATTTTAGTGGTTTTCCTGAAATTAAATTTAATTTTAGAACTGGCAAAAATGCAAGTGATTATAACAATAAAAATAATCTTAAATAATACAATTATATTGTTTATTTTGCAAAGTGATACTTTCCTGAAAATAATTTTTTTTTTTTCATTTTGAAATCGATCTTTGGTATTTTTTCTTGGTATTCTATTAAAAAAAAGTTTTTGCTTTTCTTTCTCCATTCCAAATGTCCTTGTTAAAATTTGCCTAGTGAAATCAAATTTTTACCACTTTACTCTATGTTAATCAATACATATCGACTTTTGGTATTTTTATCTGAGATTCCCGGTATCTCATCAAGTTGAATCTTCTTAGAAGTTTATTTGATATATTGTGCATTATATATCTGTCATCGCTTTTGTTTTACTGAAAGTTTAGATCGGAAAAAATCCAGGATAATTCATTTAGCTAATTAGGAAATACCAAGTGAGTGCGGAACAATTAAGTTAAAATTCTTGTATTTTTACAAAATTACACTCACTAATTTTAATGTGAAGAATAATTAATGATAGTATTATTGTCTACCATAATTAATTAACTTTTCTTCTTCTTATTCTCATTTGATCCGGTCATTCGACAAGATAGATGACGGAAAAAGTGACGAAGAATGATAACAAAAACTAATCACTGATAATTGCGACTAATTAATTAACTAAATATTACGTAAAACGGAATTGTTTCACACATCTAATTTAGGCATTGAATAATTTAATGTAACAATTAGTAATATAATTTGAGGAAGCTGATGATTCCATCCTGGATTGAATGACCTTCCACATTCAATAACCTCCAAAAATGAAAACAAAAATTGTCGATTAAACAGGTGGCTTAAATTAAATTTTCTAATCATATACATGCAAAAAATAATTTGAATAAATCGGATTCAACAACTATCCAAAGTGCAGATGCTGTTTAGATATATAATTCATTCCTAAATGATTAGTGGCAAATTATAATTTATGTTTAATTTATTAACATGTAACACGTAAAACATTTCACTAACACATAACATTATTAACACAAACAATTCGTTCTTCATATTCATAATACAATAACATATTTATTTTGCGTTTTGTATTAATGTATAATTAACCATTCCTTGGACAGTTTCGTACCAATTATTGTTTTATTTGTACAGCAATTTCATCAGCAAACAATACTTATTTGTTAAACAATCTCACAATAATTACACATTCTTTTTGTTTGATTTCAAATTAATCCTCAATTCGATTAATTTCTACCAATACTTTTGTGATGAATATTTCATTTTATCAAACAAATATTACATAAAATTTTGTTATTTAATTTGTTGAGTGGTAATTAATTTAATTTGCTTAATGACAATTAATTAATACTGAGGGAAGTTTTGATTATTTTTCCGAATATAATCATTAATTTGTCAATTTTTTTTACATTTCTAGAGCAATTTTGTGCTCAGAATTCGATTCGAAGAACCATTTCGTGGTATAATCTACAGCGAGAAAGGTTTTCCTAATTGCATCTATGTGAATGCATCGATTCTAACCAAATTATCCTATACCATTAAGGTATTTTTGACAATTTTATTGATTATTGATTAATTTAATATAAAAAGGTCCGAAGTGAAATATGTTGACGGATAAATAAATTGATCGACAGG